GCCACCCTTGGTTATTTTTCCTTGGCCACCCTTGGTTATTTTTCCTTGATTTGTTTAGATTTGGTTAATCTTTAGTTGATTTGGATTAGTTAACCAAATCCTTAAGTTGTTTAGATTTGCTAATCTTATCCTTAGTTGATTTAGATTTGCTAAATCCTGATCCTTAGCTGATTTAGACTAACTATTCTAAATCCTTTAAGGATAAGGACCTCTTAGAATTAGTATAAATAGCTTGTTATATTGTACAAATAATTATTCATTCAACAATTCAATAGAAATTCTTCTACTTGTTCATGCTTAGGCGTGTTCTATGTTTTAGAAAGAGTGTGAGATTGCATTCTTCTAATTGCATTAAGAATCAAGGTAAACTTATCAATTTATTTGTGGCGTTTATTTTATTTTTTTACTCTATTATTGGTGTTCTTGCTTCTGGTGCTATAGAAGGGAGTTTAGTTTGATCTTTGATCTCTTCCAAATCTTGTCATAAAGTTCTTGGAATAAATTTTCATAGGGTTCCGCGTCAGTCAAGGCGTGTGAGATGTAAGCTATTTGATACATTTATGTTTTTCTTTTTAGGAAATTCATGTAGTTGTATGTAAAGAGGATATCTCACATATGTTAATTTTTTTTGAGACCAATAAATCACTTAAATCATTTAAAAGCACAAAGAAGAGTCCATATGGTTCTGGTTAATGTCTCATAAAGAACATGGTGAAGGCTGATGCTAATACATATAATATATTACTCTTTGGATGGTGTAGAGTTAAGAACCCAACTATAAGAATGAAGGTTTTAGAGGAAATGATCCAAGTGGGTCATACACCTAATAATTTTACATACATTGCTGTCATTGATACATACTGTAGAACAGGAATGGTGATAGAGGTAGATAATCCTGATCGTAGCACATGCCCAAAACAATAAAATGGATGAGTGCTTTAATCTTATGGAGGATATGATAAACAGCAGTTGACTCCCAGATGTTTTTACCTATGAAGAATTGATAGAAGGAATGTGTTTGGCTGGAAAGATTGATGAAGCTTATAAATTTCTGCAAGAGATGGGAAACAAAGGTTATCCTCCTGATATAGTTACTTACATTGCTTCTGAAAGGTTCTTTATGAAAATAAGATGAGTGATGAAGCACTGAGATTTTTTTAAGCCATTTTTTTGTTGTAGTCTATAATTTTTGCATTAGTATTATTGAGATTTTCTTTCATGTTTGTTATCTATGCTAATGTTATTGATTTTTTTTGCGGTTTATACATTATAGGTAATCAAATTGAAAAATTGTTTATTTCATATATTACTGCGCAAAGGTGACATTTTGTTCTTGTGATTCATTGCGTGAGTGTGTATCTACATATTCTTTAATCTTGTTGATAGTATTCATCCTATCTTAGAGGTTTTTCTAAGGTTTGATTCAGAAATTCATAGTTTTTTAATACTTTATTTTACCATAAAACAAATATTTGTTGAATCAAGATTTATAGCAACAGTAAGATAAATAAGAAATCAATTATGAATAATTTCATATTTGAAAGACAAATTCAAAGAGGAAAAAATTATTCGGTTTCTATCGCTTTGCATCCAACATTCTTACTTGTTTATAATATATGATTTTGCACATCCTTGCCCAATAAGCTCCATCTAATTGCCTTCCAAAATGATTGCATCCCAATTCAATAGGAAACAAATGGGAGTGGAAAACAACATGAGGTAGAACATAACTATAATTAACAAATTGAGGATAATTTTGATCTTCACCATGAAATGAACTTGCCATATCGTGAAAAAAATAAAACAATTGCAATGTTAGAGAAAAGGGAAAGAAAATTGAAGGAAAAATAATTCTTAAAATTGAAAAAACCACAGAACGCATAATAGATAAATTTTCAAAAAAATCAAACCTTTATATTCAAATTGAACTTTCTAATTGCAGAAACTGCAATCTATCACCATAACTTCTGGACTCTTCAACTCCAAAGCTGATCATAGTGATGGGATATGAAACAGAAGGGTTGCTGAAGAAGTTTTTGCTTCACATGGAGGAATCAGTTCGTGGGCTTCGAAATTGCAAAGATAAAGGTATGATCTAAGCCAATTTTTTTGTCACATCAGCGTTTTAATTAATTTAAAATAATAAAAGGATGCCTTTTTTTTCCACATATCGGCATTTTAAAATAACAAGAAGATGCCACGTTAGATTTAAGGACTCTGTTTTTGTATATTTATATAGATAGATATTCTCAATTGATTTCTTTAAGTTTAATTTCATTTTAATTCTTTTTTTTTAATTTCTCGAACAACTATTTTTTTTATTATTTAAATGATAGTATGCTAATACAATTTTAGTATTTGGTGTATAATTCTACTAAGAACAATATCTTATTCTCTACTTTATTTTGTTTTTTTGAGAATCATTCTCTACCTTATTACTTATTATGATTTTATACACTTGTAAAAATTAGCTATCACTCTTGGAGAATGCGAATGTATTATATAAATTAGTACAGTGTTTATAAGATTATTATGATTTTGTGAAAAAATATGCCATTTTCCTCCTTCATATGTGAAAAAAAAAAGATTTCACAAATCATAAATCAATGAAATTTGATTTAATTAAACTAGAGCTATTTATAATAACAATGTGAAAGAGATATAATTGATAAAATTAAAAAACAACAAAATAAAATCATAACCGTCCACACTTGGCCTCGTGATTTTATTAAGCTACGGTCAGCTTTGTGGCTACGAAAAGCCACACTTCAATTAACGGTTTTTCTTTTTTTTTTTTTTTTTTTTTTTTTTTTTTTTTTAAGTGAATGATTTATTATCACAAGTCTTCCTTTCTTTTTGTGCTGTGGTCAATGATATCAAGAGCCGGTTTTTCTTATGGCTCATGATTTTATCTTTGAAAAAGGCTCCCAACCTAAAGGGATAAAGAATTAGTTCAATCATAATAAAGCTAAAATATTATAAAATATATAATAACTTAAGCACCAAGCCAAGGCAGATACATGTAGTGATAGCGCAAAATTTGCAGGTTCAAGCTAGGCTATATAGGGTTGGATAAATCTTGACTCACGTATGCCTCATTCGAACCCAACAATTAATAAAATTATCAAGAAAAAAATTGTTGTATTTTCCTTGTATTTTTATACAATGAAATCAGTATTTATATAAAAAGAGATACAGAAAAAAATAAATGAAAATTTTATAAAATGACATTTTACAATAATGTGAGATTTGGTCAATGCTATATTAAGCATATGATTTTGTAAGCAATGCCATAATAATATTATTTTAAATCAATGCTATGTAAGTATTTGATTTTATATCAATTATTATATGATCTTGTAATTATTGATTATGTAACAACCATGTTTAGTATTAACTGTCCGAAAGTACCCCTAATAATAATAGCATATACCCAAAAAAAAAAAAATATTATTTGGTTTTAATGATTTTTATTTTAAAAAATCCCAAAAAAAAAAAAAAAAAGTTTAGTTATTAAATTGGTCGCCGAAGTAAACATTAGAGCAGGAGTTAACTCTTGAGCGCACACCGGGCCGGTCACACGATGGACAGACACACGAACCAGGCCGAATCATTCATATGAAGTATAGAAGGCTAACGCGCATTAAGGCCGACCCACCCAAATAATTTATTTTTTCACTTAGTAGAGAGAAGGCTTCGGATCATATATTGTTAAAACAACTCGAGTGCGCGGTCTGACGAGAATGAAGAGAAGCGAAGAAAAAAAAGGCAAACTCGCTGTTGCGGACCAGAGAGCACAGTATGGGATGCTCGTGAGGGCCGCGGAGAGACATCATGGAACCAAAATGCTGAATTTGATCATTGTTGACATTCTTGGGGCATTACGTGTAGGGTGTTGCGAGGAGTGGCAGAGTGCAGTGCAGGGACACGCCTAGAGAGAATTAACGGAATGACATATATCTAAACGACGAAAGTGACATCCTCTCACACCACACTCGATTATAAAAAAAAAAAAAAAAAAAAGGAATTTGGATATTTGGACGGACCTTCCTAGAGGCAAATGACCAATGCTGATTGATCATTGTAATATTTCTTTTTGTACCAGAATCGGTTGAACCTGCAGACTGCAGTGACGGCTAAATATTGCATATAATAATAATAAAAAAATATTTCTAAAAAAAATGATAAAATAATAAGGATAATTTTTTTGAAAAAGAAATCCTTCGTCCTTTTATTGTATAATTTAATAACGTCTCTTTTTTTTTGAAATTAATAACGTCTCTTTTTTTTTCTTCTGTTTTTCATTGGTTTTGTTTTTCAATTTTTAGTGCATTTTTAAATAATTTTATATTTGTTCCTATTTGGATAAATTATGTATTTATTTTTTTTTCAAATTCATTATTTTTAATTTACCTTGAGGTTTTGTTTTCCTGACGAATGTATTTTGACTTTTTTTTTTATAAAATTATTACACAATTAAACTGTCATTGCGTATAAAACATTTAAATGAAATGACAAACCAGCTAAATAATTGTGCGATCCACTTTAAAAATAACTACCAAATAAATATTTAAATATAATTTTTGAAATTCAAGAAATGTAATTGGAGGTGAGAGAAAAAACTATAAAAATTTATGAGAGCCACGTATGCATAAACTGCGCTGATTTTCTTTGAGTCATAGCGGAGGCTATCCCTTAAACCTCATAATGAATAAAAAACAGAAATTTTGTAACCATACAATAAATAAATAAAAACAAGAAAAACAAACAATAATAACAGTGGTCAAATAAATAAATAAAATAGTATTTCAAAAAATAAATAAATAAAATAGTATTTCAAAATTAAATAAATAAATAAAATAAAAGTAACGTTGAGTAAGAGGGTAGAAAAAAGAAAATGGCATGCAGCCGCTTTGCATTTCTTCTTCGCGGAGAACTATTTATTTTAGTACTTTTTACCTCTCTCTCTCTCTCTTTCTATCTCAGCAACAAGTCCTCCTCGAATCTCTTTTCACTATAGCTTCGGGTCCTGAAAACAAAAGGGGAGGACCCATAGACTCGCATAAAACCAAATTGCGCTCGAGAGAGATAAATATACCTATTTATTTATCTATCTGTATTGATATGTCTATAAAGAAAACAATAAGAAGCAGAGGAATAAGAGAGAACCTCTCATAAGTCATGGATTCGCTTGTTGTGGTAGAATTTCAACCTCCCTTTTTGGGGTATCTCTTGTTCCTTTTCCTTTCAGTTTCACGCTCTATTTCTTTCTTCATTTGGGTTTTTCTTACTTTTTTCTTTTTTCACTATTTCTGTTGGTTTTGGCTTAGGAATTCTGGAATTTCTCTCCTTTTGCAGGTTGGAATTTTGATGTAATGTGGTGTGCTTGGCGGGTTATGATTATCCCGTAATTCTAAATATGGATTTATCTTTTGGGGGTAAATTTAATTCCTTTTCATGTTTTTTATTATTTTTGATTAATTTGTAGGATACAATTGTTATGGCTTTTAGTTTTTTCTTTGGATTTATTAGCGATTTGCATGTCAGCCATTGAATTTATCCTTTGATGGATTTATATTTTCCATACTCATTCGTTTAGTAGAAATTGTATTTCTGATCTTAATGATTTATGTTTTGATTAGATTTTCTGGGTTTTTTTAGGCATAAAAAATGACTGATTTTTAGATGTTTATCGGTGATAGTTGTTGAATTTGCGGTAATCAATTCCTTTTAATATTCAGCACGCTACACTAATATTTATATAAAAAATATTCTGGCGGTTGAGTTTTGAAGTTGGTAAACTCTTTTTTACATATTATATTTTCATTGATTATCTAGAATTTTGTATGTATTGACGAAGCAGTGAGCAGGTTAATTGTACATAATTATCTTTCTGGTGTCAAACTGGTTGGTGGTCTCTGTGAAAGTTTAGAAGCAGAGGCATTTCAAAGTCGAAATCAAGCATTATTATTATTATTATTATTTTTGGTTGATTATAAATGGTTAACACGTTGATGTGTGCTGAACCTGTATTATTGGTTAAAAGTTTGTATTATTGGTATGGTTGAAATGTCTTTATTAATTAAAGTCAACCATTTGTTCACATGTTTTGAATATTGATCACTTAATAATATTTTGGGAAATGAAAAGAAATAGTCCAAGAAATGCCAGAGAGTCTCTTAACTGGTTGGCTATGGTGACAGTTAACAGATTTCTTGTTTTTTTAAATTTCACTGTTTGTATGTCAAAATTCCTGGTCAAGACATCCTAATGGGGAGAAGAAATTGACATTTTACATGTGTACTTTTGGACTTGTGATGGATGTTGTGCAAAGGAAGTTTTATCTGATACTATTTGCTTTAATTGTTTGTTATGCTCCTATTGTTTTCAAACCAATATATTGCTTGTGATTGGATGTTGTGAAAGGAAGTTTTTATCTGCATATATATTGCTTTAATTGTTTGTTATGCTTCCTATTGTTTTTCAAACCATATTTTATATAATAATATATATATAATATACTAAGACCATGAGATTTGGTTAAATAAAGTTTATTGGTATATATATAGACATGAGATTTGGTTAATAAGTTTTTGGTTCGTTGACTCTTCTGTTAAATAAAGTATAGAAGTGAGGTATTTTCATTTTTGTTGTACACAGGAAGTGCACTTGATCCATCAAAATGTAGTAAACTAAGCATGGATGAAAAGAGAGAATTAGTCTATCAATTATCAAAGTGTGCAGGTGCCTCTGAAATGCTACAGTCATGGAGCCGCCAGGAAATTTTGCAGATCCTATGTGTGGAGATGGGAAAAGAAAGGAAGTACACAGGATTGACAAAATTGAAAATCATAGAGCACCTTCTTAAAATTGTATCTGAGAAGAAATCAGGGGAGTGTGAGGCCACAACAGATGTGGAGACAGAATCATCTCCTTCACTGGTTCAGAGATCTTCCAAAAGGCAGAGGAAAACTGATAACCCATCTCGGTTAGCTGTTTCAGTTAACTACAATGCAACTAACAATGGAGGCAATGATTTAGGTAATACTGTATTCTGTAAAAACTCAGCTTGCAGAGCAACCTTAAAACAAGATGATGTTTTTTGCAAGAGGTGTTCATGTTGCATCTGTTATAAGTATGATGACAACAAGGATCCCAGCCTGTGGTTAACTTGCAGCTCAGAACCTCCATTTCAGGGTATTGCATGTGGCATGTCATGTCATCTTGACTGTGCCTTAAAACATGAAAGCTCTGGCATTAGAAAAGACGGGCATGATGGGAGTTTTCTTTGTGTGGCTTGTTGGAAAGTGAATGATTTACTTGGGTGAGTATCTGTGCGTGTTATTTCTATTCTTCTTGTTCTTTTGTAAAGGCTTCTTTATTACCTTATTTAAGTTTCTATATATATATATATATATAAGTTTCTATATATATATATAATTAAATATTATATATAATATATATATTAATATATTCTGTGCGTGTTATTTCTATCTTCTTGTTTCTCTTTTGTAAAGGCTTTCTTTATTAACCTTTATTTAGTTTCTATAATATATATAATTATATAACTCCCTATTTGATCAAGATGAAAATTGAGAGTTTTTTATATATATCTGTGCGTGTTATTTCTATTCTTCTTGTTCTTTTGTAAAGGCTTCTTTATTACCTTATTTAAGTTTCTATATATATATATATATAACTCCCTATTTGATTCAAGATGAAAATTGAGAGTTTTGGCAACCTTGGATCACATGGTTAATTTGTTGTGCTTAACGAGAGAAGCGGTTTGCTTGGGGAGAAGTCCAGGCTAGTTTGTTTTTTTGTAAAGATTTCTTTGTTACCTTATTAAGTTTTGATATATTGTTCATATCCATAAACCCTTGAAGGAATTATCCATATTGGATAGAAAACCTATTAAAAACAGTCCCATATCTTCATTTCCTGCTTTTCATTTGGTTCTGATAAAAAACATCTTATAATACTAAAAACCAACAAACATCTTAACACTTGTTGAAAATTTCCCCTAGAAGTTCACATAATTGTTACAGCTGTCCTGCGACATTATTTTGGCATTTAATTTTCCTCTTAGCTTTCCTACTTCAAGTTACACATTTTTCTTATTTTTGTATCCATCTTGTTTATCATTTCTCTCCATGGTTATACAGAATAGGGTACAAGAACACAGTTCATTTAATTGTCATCTATAATATAGTGTCGTTTTCATGTCACTAGAGTCGAGAAATAATTTTAGGAAGGCGGTTGCAAAAACTTGTGTGTTCCTAGTTTATTTGGAGAGTGCAACGCGTTGCTTTACAATGAATGAGGTGTAAATTCTTGTTATGCTTGATAGAGGCCTTCACAAGTCTGCATGGTTGATGTGAGTGTGGGCTTTTGCACATTTAGTTGATATGATGCTATCATGTAGAATTTCCGAATTTGGTTTTCTAAGTGGTAATAAACTATCAATTGTTTGTTGCTTTCACAAACATGAGTAAGCAAAAATATTTTATTTGAATGGAGGGAATTTCAGTCCCATCATTGGGACATCATGTCCATTGGAAGTTTAAATTATTTTTGTCCTATATGGCGTTAACTTGTTAACTATGTAACTGTGTTTATACTGAATTGCTTTTCTTGAATCAGAAAATGGCAGATATATGTCCCTCCTAATTGTAAGTAAGGTAAAAGTTGTGTACAGTGGAACCATCCAAATTGAAAAGAACTCGGTCTTCATGTTGTTTTCACATGTGGTGTAAACTGTTGCTTTACAGCTTTGATCATGATAAAATGCAGAAAAAAATGAGGCTATTCATACAGATTTCTGTTATGTATCTTTGACTATGTCGAGTTGCTAAGATTAATAATATGGCTCTTACATATTTGATGCCTGTGATTGTTGTCATCACTGTTACCATCGGAAGTTGCAGTATCTCTTTGCCTGTCTTTGCAGCTTCTTGGGGAAAAGCTTTCATGTGTTATATCATTCAACTTTAATGTCGCTAAAACTTTTTCTTACGTGTCTAATACAGCTGCCTTGTCAGGTGCCTTTCAGAATGAAATTCTGGGAAGTAAGCACGTAACATCATCATAAATTGCTCTGTTTTTGCATGTTTGTTGCATAAAATGTTGTACATGCTTTAAAAACACAGCAAATTTTAACCAATTTCATATGTATCTTAATTGTTACTCAGATGCTGGAGAAAACAACTATTGATAGCGAAAGACACGAGGCGGGTAGACATCCTATGCTATCGTGTTTCCTTAAGCCAAAAACTTCTTAACAGTAATGGAAAGTATCAAAAACTTCATGAGATTGTAGATGAAGCTGTGAAGAAGCTTGAAGCTGAAGTAGGTCCCTTAACCGGCCTACCTGTAAAGATGGGTAGGGGTATTGTCAACAGACTTTCTTCAGGACCTGAGGTTCAAAAATTGTGCGCTTTTGCTTTAGAGTCATTGGACAAAATGCTTTCAAAGACAATTGTGCATCCATTCCCTGATACAAAGATAAGAGGTAATCTTTTTATTTTGTGGTTCCACTAAATCTCGTGACTATTGATACTAAACAGAATAAATGATACATGCTGTAAGTTTAAAATGAGCTTTTGGTTTAGTGGGACTGGAATCATTTCTTGGGTTGTGAGGTTTACAAGTTCAAACCTGGTTACAGCCAACTTAACTAAAAAACAAATGTTCGTCTAAATCTCATATGTTAATAGCTGCAATTAGATGTCATTGCAATTTTCTTTTTAATCACGTATGTAGTGAAACATTGAGAAAGTCAATAGGTTGTTGCTCGTGGAAATATTGTTTTCATGTTTTGTATTTCCCAAGGCATTAAACTTGAGAAAAGGATAATTGTTCAGTTTGGCCTTTGAATTTTTACATGTCCATTTCAGCTTATAATTAAATTTTGTAGATTAACTGAGGACTTAAGCTTTTGAGTTTAGGATTAATCTGTCCCATTTTCAACAATATATGGTTTTCTAGTTTTTAAAATATTTTTAAAATAATAACATAAAAAAATTTCAAAAACTAAAAATCAAAAAAGAAAAAAAAAACACATTCCTATCATAGAAGATGGAGAACAACTATTCACTTTTTTAGTTTTTTTTTTTTTAATTGTTTAAATTTTTAAATTTTTTTATTATTTTAAAAGTAGAAAAGTAAATTGATTATAAACTCAAAATTTATGTTCTAAATTGGTGCAAATGTTAATTTTGAGCCAAATTCGACATCCAATAAAATTTCAGGGGTCAAATTGAGCATTTATTCTTTAAGGAAATCTATCTATATATTTATATAAAGCTGAAGCAAAAAAGTTGAAGAAGGGGAACATTTTTTAACAAACAAAGAGATATTTAAAAAAAATAAATCAAGATATACTTTTTGTTTGTTTAATAGTTATAGATAACTTTTAGTACAAATAATTTTTTCTTTAATAGTTACAGTTAAACTTTTTAAGCAAACTAAGAGTTATATGTAAAAATGAAAATCAAGAGATACAAAACGTTTCTCTCTTGATTTTTATTAACTTTTTGTTTAATGGTTACGAAAAACTTTTTAGATTTCGTTGGAAGCATATACAATAGTAGGATTAATTATTTTGTTCAAATTACAATACTTACTAAGAATCAATTATGATAACAAACTCGAGAACTCAATAGACAAAAGCGATAAATAAAAAATGAATAAAAAAGAACTTGAGAACCCAAAAAAACAGAAGATTTCACACTTATAAACACAGTATTAGGAACCCTCTGATACAAAGAAAAAAGGGCTATAAAATAAAGAAACTATAGAAGAATTCAGACTTCCAAATACAAAATACACCACCAAAAAAAACGACAAACAAATACTGTGGAAGACAAATAACTAATGCACTCTACCACCTAATCGTTCTAACCATATATGAATCCTGGGGAATCAAAATTCTCAAACTATTAGAAAAACTGAACCATTTTGAAAGACTTAGAAATTGTAGAGAGATTTCAAGGCAATGACTCCATCAACAAATATCCCTATCAAAAGAAGAACTTGGAATGTGCAATCAAGAAGATCAATACTCATTCATTGGGACAAAACTACAACTCCAGATATACAGGATACTTTGTAGACTATCAAATGATATATACTAAATACAGTTTATAAATTATAAACTACAATCTACAATGTACAGAAACAAAACAATCCGTGTAACGTGTGGTCCTTCACCTAGTTATTAATGTCTATGCTACTCTTATGCATAATGTTTGCAGATTTAAATGCAACTGCTTCAATTATAATCAGATTTGAAGAAGTATATGCAACTTCACTTGTTGTTGTTTTGGGTTCTGGAGATTCACCACCTGGTTCTATTGTTGGATATAACCTGTGGCATCGTAAAGCTCGGGATCCTGTTTATCCGACAGAACCAACATGCACACTGTTTGTGCCGAACACGAGGTTTCTTGTTGCAGGTCTATCTTCTGCTACAGAATACAATTTCAAAGTTGTTTCCTTTGATGATGTAAGAAGAGAAATGAGCATGTTGGAAGTTCAGTGCTGTACTCAGGATGAAGTCCCAAATTGCTCTGTTGTTGAAAGAAGTCAAAGCCCAGCAACCAATTGCAGCAGTCTTTCTAATCCATCTTCTGTGGAAGATGAAACTAATCATAATGCTCAATGTGGTGACCAGATCTTTAACCGAGTAGACAATTATCTTAGCTACTGTAAGGACAATGGTAAAATTGCTGCTGCCAATGTGTCAACTGGTGCTATAATCTGTGGTAGCACGAGTGGGGGAACCCAAAAAGATGCAGTTCCCTTGTTAGACGAGGAACATGCAATGCAGGTTGTCAACTCCATGCCAAGTTCCAATGTCCAAAAGCTTCAGAACAAGCTTTTATCCGAGGGCCAAATAGTTGATGAAATAAGCACTGATGACGGGTCTGATATTCCTGCTCATACTGGCTTGGAATGTGTGCCCTATGTAGGTAACTCAGAAGCTAGCTTGCCTATTACACCATGCAAGTTGGAAATGATTAAGGACATCCAAGGAAGACATCCAAGGTTGAAATCCAGCAACAAGGATCTGTCAAATGGAACCAGTAAAGGAGAGGAGCCCCAGGATGCCAGCACATCAAAAAAGAGAAGTGCGGAAAGGCAAGATGATGAGTGTACAGCAAATGGTCATTCAGACAGGGATTTTGAGTACTATGTGAAGGTTATCAGATGGTTAGAATGTGAAGGACATATTGAGAAGAATTTCAGGCAGAAATTCTTGACTTGGTACAGCTTAAGAGCAACCCCACAAGAGATAAGGGTTGTGAAGGCATTTGTGGATACCTTTATTCAAGATCCAGCGTCTCTTGCAGAGCAGCTTGTGGACACCTTCTCGGAATGTGTTTCGAGCAGGAGATCATCTGTTGTGCCTGCTGGGTTCTGTATGAAGCTTTGGCATTGACAGCCTCATTATATACCTGGAACTAGGTAACATAGATTGGTGCACAAACCAGAACCTGCCGGTTTTTGTATCATTAATTCTTTAGACCCCATTAACATTCTTCATTCAGACTACTATATTTATATTTATCATCAACATTTGCCATTCTTCTGGTGTAAGAATGTAAGAATTCATTTTCTTTTATATATAGTGCTCCTTGCATTCATTTCCATTTTTGGAATAATTAGGAATTCATTTGCTTTACTAGTTATGAATCCTTCAGAATCCTTTCAAATAGATGTGCTTTTGAAATGAAGGTGAATTTGAATTCTGTTCCAAGTAAAACATTATGAAGATTGACGCTAATTCAAATTCAAATATCGTTTCATTTCCAATATTCATTTATTTGAGCGGATATTCAAATTATTTGTAACTATTGACAAGCCAGGAAATGTGAAAGCCATTGTTTGCTGGAATGGTGAATACCAACTTAATTGAGTTAACAGGTTTTTTTTTTTTTTTTTTTTTTTTTTAATTGACAAAGCCAGGATGTGAAAGCCATTGGTTTTCTGGAATGGTGAATACCACTTAAATTGAGTTAACAGGTTTTTTCTTTTTTTTTTTTTTTTTTTTTTTTAGTCTCGGGGACCTCAAATTGTTGACTCCGGTTCATATTTGAAAATAGGGTGAAAATTTTTAGAAACCTATACCAAAAATGTTGATTGGGGAGAGTGACCTTGTTCATCAATTTTGCTTCCGACTAATCATCCCTTTGTTTGGAGAATGTGATTTTTGTATTTATAACCAATAGATTCAGTAAAATTATTGATAATATTTTTTTTTTTTTTTTTTTTTTTTTTTTGAGTCTCGGGGACTCAATTGTTGACTCGGTTCATATTTGAAATAGGTGAAAATTTTTAGAACTTACCAAAAATGTTGATTGGGGAGAGTGACTTGTTCATCAATTTGCTTCCGACTAATCTATCTTGTTGAGAATGTGATTTTTGTATTTATAACCTAAATAGATCAAGTAAAATTTTGATAATATTATTTATGTGTGTATGTGTAACCAAAATTTTAATTTATGAATGGATATTTTACGATGGTGTTATTTTATGATGAATATTTACTTTATATATTAATGATATTATAATTAAATTTTTAATTTATGAATGAATATTACTATAAAGAATTTTTAATTCATATGTGGATGTTATTAAGATGACTTAATTTATTTTTATATTTTCTTAATTACATGAATTTGAAATTTAGTTTTGATTTTTTATGATGTTCACTAGTTTTATTTTATATATAATGGACTTTGTGAGGTATACATATAAATAAAGTATGTCATTGAAGGTAACCTATCCGTCCAACCCATTTAAAATGGTTTTCGGTATTAGTTAAACCAGCGTATAATGGGTACGGATATTAAAATTTTAAATGAGTTTGAGATGAGTGTGAGTGTAAAAATTTTAGTGAATATCCACCATACTTTCATTTTTTTTTTTTTTCCAAATATTGGGTGAAGGGATTTAAACAGATTATATATACATTTATACCTAGGTTATGACTTAGTGTACACCCTACTTCCATTTTCTAATTACAGCTAAGAAATGAAAATCTTCTCTTGAGTCATTTATTATAGTTTAGCTTGATAACATTTTGATTTCCTACAAAGATAAGAAGGTGCATCTGCTTATGGATTATGGAAGGGAATCGCGCGGCTAACGTTCCTCTCTCAAGGAAGGTTAAACGCGAGCCGCACATGGGCGGAGACAGCAAGCATGGATTGCTGGAAAGCTAATGTCTAGGAGTCTCTTTCTATTACAGATGCCATCAAACACAAGTGAAAGACCGGCGGATAGAAAGACTGACTCGAATTGAAACCGGTTTTGGTTTTGACTGATTCAATTTCAATTCAGTTCTAGTTTGAGATCCAACAATGGTCATCCCTAAGAGGACTCAATCTGCAGAAAATGAGTTATCTTTAGATGTCTTAGAACTTTTAGAGTAAAAGGAAAAATGCTTGAATATATCACAACTAATTAACCATCTACCGCTACAGAAGTGGTTTTAATATAGTTGGCAACAAAGTAGGGTGTTAATTTAGCATATTTATTTTCAAATCAACATTTTTGAGGGCAAAGAAACTAAGAAAGAAAAAGAACTGGCCATAGCAGAACAAAAATCTCTGGTACAAGTATTCGCTAAATAATACTTTTATCGATGTTTTGAAAACTGGAAGGGTCAATAGATTAGTGAAGTTAGTATTTTTTCAATTTTATCAAATTTAATACGATTTAAATGGATTTTTATATATTATATTTTAGACATGTTTTTAAGTTCAATTAAAAAATATAGAATTTATAAATACTAAATAATTCTTAGATAAAGATTTATAGATAATAATTGATACAACTTTCATTTCACTTTAGAAATATATTAGGTTATTATAATTTAACCTCTTCTACTACTTTACTTACAAATTGAAATTTGTCTCTTTTATTTCCCATTTTTAAAAGTTTACATATTTGGTTCTCTCTTTGCAGCCTCTAAGGTGCTTTGGCTATGCCAAAAATTCTCTTGTCAATATCAAATTCTCCAATTCTTGCTCTTCTGAAGAAATGCAAAACCATGACAGAGCTAAAGCAAATCCATGCGCACATAATCACCAACGGCTTAGCTCGTTTCACTTTTATAACCAGCAAAGTCTTGGCTTTTTGTGCAAAATCACAATCTGGAGACATAAATTATGCGCGAGCCATTTTCAATCAAATTCCAATACCAAATGCCTTCGAATTCAATTCTCTTATAATGGGTTTCTCTCAAAACACACAACCTCAAATGGGTCTCTCTCTTTTTGCTTATATGCGTAGTAAAGGGATCGAACCGAATTCCCATACATTTACCACTTTGGTTAAATGCTGTGTTTGTTTGTCTTCACTTAATCAAGTTTATGGTCAAGCAGTGAAATTTGGGCACAAATTTGATCTTTATGTAATTAGTTCTGTTATTAATGCATATTCAAAGTTTGGAGCAATGGAACTTGCTCGTCAGGTTTTTGATGAAAATGTTCGTATAAATATTGTTTGCTGGACTAGTCTTATAAGTGGGTATTGTAGTAATGGAATGGTTAACGAAGCACGTAAATTATTTGATGAAATGCCTACGAGAAATGAAGTTTCTGTAAGTGCAATGGTGTCTGGGTATGTTTGGAATGGTTACTTCAATGAGGCAATTAGATTGTTTCAAGAATTGAAGAATTGTTGTGCTGTAAGATTTAGTGGGTCTCTTTTGGTTAGTGTTCTTAATGCTTGTGCAGCTACAGGTGCATTTGAAGATGGGAAATGGATTCATTCTTGTGTAGAAATGAATGGTTTTGATTATGAGATTGAATTAAGCACTGCATTGATTGATTTTTATGCAAAATGTGGACAAATAAAAAATGCAGTTGAAGTATTTAGCAAAATGCCATTTAAAGATGTAACAACTTGGAGTGCTATGATTTTAGGGTTGGCAATCAATGGAGAGAATGAAAGAGGTATTAAACTTTTTGAAGAGATGGAGAAGAAAGGACTTACACCAAATGCTGTAACTTTTATTGGCGTTCTTACTGCTTGTAATCACAAAATTCTGGTAAGTGAAGCTTTTCGGTTATTTGGGCGTATGGGTAAAGTTTATGGCATTGCTCCTTTGATTGAGCATTATGGGTGCATGGTTGATCTTTTAGCTCGAGCTGAGCTGATTAAAGAAGCCATGATATTGATAAAACTTATGCCAATGAAGCCTGATGGAGCTATATGGAGTTCTTTGCTTAATGGGTGTTTGATACATGGCCATGTTGAAATGGCGGAGAAGGTAGGGAAGCATCTTATCCAATTAGAGCCTCAGCATAGTGGAAGGTATGTCCTTCTGGCAAATATGTATGCCACAAAAGGAAACTGGGATGAGGTGATTAGTTTAAGGAAAATAATGAAAGAGAGAGGAATGGCTACAGTTTCTGCCTGGAGTTCCATTGAGCTTGATGGGATTGTTCATAAATTTTTTGTTGATGATAAGACCTATTCTTTTAGTAGCATTCATAAATCTTTGAATCAACTCCATGAGCAATTTGAATATTGTTCTACAGTTGATGACGCATAAGAGGTTGTATCTTCACATGCAAAACTAAAGTAGTTGGCATTGATGTTTAATTGGAAAAGCAAGTGCATTTCAATAGTGCAAAACAATTTATGTAGTGACAACAGATGCTTAATATAGCGGCTGGTGTTTTCTAGGACACCATTTCAGTTGTATCTCATTCGTATTTGATTGAAAGTGTAAAAAGCGCACTAGTTTTCTCGTAGCTCTGTTGGGGCTCATGGGAGCTCAAGAATGGATATTGGGGTTGTGGGCCTTGCCCTTATGGCATTGTGATTTCTTATGGTCCTAATGTGACACAAGTTATATGGGGAACTTGAAGTAGGTGGATGAGTTCTTCAGCTCTCACCTTAATGGCTACCTTTTAGAGGGATGTTTTCTCAAGGCACTTGAAAGCTAGCATCAGAGCCAGTTCCACACTCGAAAGCTCAATGCTCGAAGCTTCCTATAGGTTGGGATAGGAGAAATGAGGTAATAAGTCGATTACCAAGCTTCCTTTAGGATTTTACTCTTATTGCACTAAATAGAGTTTAAGACCTCTGATATGTTTAATTAAATTATAAAGATTGATTTTGATTCGTAGGTGGCCACATATTACTGCCCATGGGATGGTTGAGTGAGCCGCTACTTGTTTATTGCTCAATATTATCCAATACTAGGGAACTGATATGCAAGAAAGCTGTTGAAAGACCCATTTTCACTCTTTCCCTATTAAATACTCTTCCACTTGTACATTAGTTAGGGATTAATACTCTAATGTGCATGTTTGTCCCATTGTATAGTAAAAAAAGTTTTTGATCTGTCCTATTGGATTTGGACTGTTAATCTGTTGTCTTAAACTGGGTTTACAGAACACAGAACTTCAAGTGGCACAATTGGCTAGTGGGTCCCTTAACTTTCCACCGGTTCCAAATAAACTAAGAAATGGTGATGAAACCAAAGCTTAATGAAAACCTCCCCATCTTGTAGCCACCGTGACACTTCTCTAACAAACCTACGTATCCACGTCTCAAAGACCATTCCAACACATTTTGTCCTTTTCTTGAACCGTTTTTATCATCTTTTCTTTTCAAGAAAAATATAAACTGACTACTCTTGTCCTTCTACACTTCTACCTTTCTTGATTTTGCTTTTCTCTGTTTTCAGTTATCAATCTCAACAGAGCTTCAAGAAAATGTCTGCCAGTGCCGGAATCCTTACATCTGCGGTTGCTGGATCTGGATATCAAGGCCTAAAAGCCAACTCAGCAAAACAGCTGTTCCCTGCTAAGGATTCTATTTCATGGAACAGCAAAACTGTCTCTAACGGTTCCAGAATTCATTGCATGAAGGTAATGTGATCATGAAAAGTTCGATAATTACTTAAAAAATTCTTATATATACATTTTTCTAAATCTAACTATTAAATATATTATGTATTGCTGCTAATAATCTTTGTTTCTGTGGTTGATGAAATAGACATGGAATCCAATCAATAACAAGAAGTTTGAGACACTTTCTTACCTTCCTCCACTCTCCGATGACTCGATTGCCAAGAATATCGATTACATGATAAAAATGGGATGGATCCCTTGCCTTGAATTTGATGAGGTAAGATAAATTGCTGTTTCTTGTATCAAAATGGGTTTCATTTCCATTTAGAAAAGTTGCTAAAGATTGCTAATAGTCTTTTCTATTCTTATGCGTATCTGTTTTTCAACTCTTGATTCAACATTTCACCATTTCCAAATTGATTGATTGGTTATTTAGAATACTATTACAGCCCAGTTCCCATTATTTAGTTAAAATCCAAAAGAGCAAACAGTAGTTGCATAGGCAGTATTTATCTCTATAATATTGGCTCAATACATAAATTCAACCATATATTTTTTACGGAAAAATCTTGTGATATCTTTAATTTTCATTTTGACTGATTGAACACTTCAACTTATAAAATTTTAAATAGATTAAATACTTATTGGATTGTAGAAAATATGAAAATTATTATTTCAAAAGCTATATTAACCACATACGAATATTAATATTTTGCATGTAAAAGTCAAAAATCTTAAAAATTTATTGTTTCTAGCGTGATGAGGTGTGAAAAGAGAAGTTGACGACGCCACAAGATCGATTGTAAAGTTCATTTTGCCACAATTTTTTTATTTCTTTATCCTTTTTGAAATGTTAGGTTGGGCACGTGCGTAGAGAGAATAGCAGAATGCCAGGATACTATGATGGGAGATATTGGACATTGTGGAAGCTCCCAATGTTTGGTTGCAATGACTCTGCTCAGGTTCTAAATGAAATGCATGAATGCAAAAAAGCATACCCAAATGCTTATATACGCTGCTTGGCATTTGACAACAAGAAGCAGTGTCAGTGCATGTCCTTCATCATTCAAAAACCTCAACTCTAAGGGGAGTTAAGTTTGGCCTTCTTCTTTATGTCTGTCTGTGATTTCCTCTTTTGTGCTGCAAATAAAATGGTGGGTGGTGGTTGGGTTTTCACCTAAGTGGATTTGCTTGTGGCCATGGATTAAATAAGTAATGATATCTGTTGGAATGATTACTTATTTTTATAATGATAACATATATAATATGTGTACTCCTTTCAAATGAGAATTGACTAGCACTAGCACTGGCACATGGATTTAGCTATCTTTTCATATACAGGCAACAGATTGCCCCTGGTTTTGCTTAAATGTGGAAACCAATATTTTACACCCAAAAACGAGTTTTTCCAAGCCAGAGGTTCTATTCAATACTAGGGCTTAAGTTATGACTAAAATAATTTGTTTTGTGAAATTACTTTTATTGAGGAATTCTAAGAAAATTCAAGGACCAGGAAAATATTAGAAGCATAAAAGAATTTAATATAATCAAAAAACGATTTGTAAAGATTCAGCATATCTGACACTCAAGATTTAGAGAACAAGTGAATTCAGTTGCAGTTTTTAAATATTTTTTATACAGCCCACATGAAAGTTTCCTTCTCACTTTCATTTTGTGGAAAATAATTTGTTCTGGGATAATTTACAGTTAACTAATTCATTTTTCCATCAACATCGAGTATAACATTCTTTTGCGAACATTCACGAGTAAAACTAAATGGAAAAATGCACTTCAATATATCAAATCCTAGATTATCCATCAAGGGCCATTGATTCATGGAGACCTAAAAACCTAAGATGAAAAATTGTAGCTCACGAACTGATCCAACCCAGATAAAACCGGCCCATAATTCATTCAGTGGTCCGTCAGAATTGGTTTCTGATCAAAACCAACCCGAGCCGGAACATTCACAGGCAATCCAATGCGTAAATGTAACATGACTAAAAAAGTAACCATCCTGCCGAACCAATTGGCATTATATTCTTACTGAATTGCAAATTTCCAACGTAAAATCCACAGCCAGATGTTCAAAACTACTCGCTGAAACAACTGGATATATTAGCTTTAGAAGGCTAAAAAAAAAAAAATGTAAAGCAATAGCAATTCCCATGGGTGAAAAAATTGCAGTATTGTACCACTACCAAAATTGAATATTGGGACTAAGCTTTTGGGCCTGACTCCCTCCTAATAATTATTGTCTACTACCAAAAAAAAAAAAAAAAAAAAAAAAAAAAAAAAAATAAAAAAAAAAAAAATGTAAGCAATAGCAAATTTCCCATGGGTGAATAAAAATTGCAGTATTGTACCACTACAAAATTGGAATATTGGGACTAGCTTTTGGGCCTGAACTCCCTCCTAATAATTATTGTCTACTACAAAAAAAAAAAAAAAAAAAAAAAAACAAAAGAAACAATATTAGGCAATGGATCCTTCTTATCTCTTCAATCCAAAATCCCAACCAAATTTACTAACACCAACACTTTGTTTGACCAAGGTGCCAGATAATAATAAACATCTATCAAATCAACCTTTTCATTTTGGTCTGGTTGATTTCCAAGATATTCAAAATCATAATTAAAACGAACTGCAAAATTCAAAAATGTGGACCACCCTATACCCAGTCGATCTGTGACGGGCCCTCAGGTTGAAAGGCTAATCTTCATTTGCTGTAGAAAAATATAACCCAAATATACTGCAAATATCAGAAAAACATCTTGCATGGATCTCCATTACGCTAAGATTATCCATCAAGAATGGGTTATGTAACCGCGGCTCTTAAGCTTAGAAAAAGCCATCCACATCCAGTAACAAAATGAATTACATCTCTTCATTTAAGCCAATATGAACCAGAGGCATAGCACTTTCATATGCAAGGTAAGTATAAAAAATAAATTGAAGCCTAACAAATTACAGTTGCAGCATCATTTCCCGGTTGCAGTCCATGGGGTAACATCCGGGTGCCGTCATTCCAAATCCCAAATCCATGTTTTAAAAAAAAAAAAAAAAAAAAAAAAAAAAAACAAAAGGAAACAATATTAGGCATATCTTCTATCTCTTCAATCCAAATCCAACCATTTACTAACACCAACACTTTGTTTGACAAGGGTGCCAGATATAAAACATCTATCAAATCAACCTTTCATTTGGCTCTGGTTGATTTCAAGATATTCAAAATCATAATTAAAACGAACTGCAAATTACACAAAAATGTGCCAAACCCTTACCCAGTCGATCTGTGACGCCTCAGGTGAAAGCTAATCTTCATGCCCGTAGAACAATACCCAAAATATACTGCAAAATTATCAGAAAAACATCTGCATGATATCTCCATTACGCTAGTTATCCATCAGAATGGTTATGTACCGCTGCTCTTGCTAGAAAAGCATCCACATCCAGTAACAAAATGAATTACATCTCTCATTTAAGCCAATATGATCCAGAGGCATAGCACTTTCATATGCAACGGTAGTTAAAAAAATAAATTGAAGCCTACAAATTCAGTTGCTAGCATCATTTCGGGTTGCAGTCATGGGGTACATCCGGGTGCCGTCATCAAATCCCAAATACCATGTTTTCCAAATCAAACTGCTCTGTTTACTTCTCGAAGAGCAATAAACAAAATCAAAATAATAATATTAATACAAAGGCCTTTATAATTTAAAAGGTAATTCAGAAAGTTCAATGTCTTACAAGGTCTTTCAATGGTATTCCATTCAAGTCACCTAATGCTCAAAGGTTCTCTCTGTCAAACAGGTAGAAAATTGATGGTTAATTGGGAAACAAAGAGTATAAAGAAAAAAGTAAAAGGAAAATAATGAAAATGGAAAATCTCTTTGATCCATTCTATTATCACATAAAAGAAATTAATAAAGCGAGAATTATATACAAATCTGTAAACAAAAGATATAAAACAATGACTTGGTTGCTGTTCCATGTTTAAAAAATTACACTGAAAATTATCTCAAGTTATGGCATCAGGAACGGAGTTACAGTAGATATACCAGACAAGAAATTCATGAAATAAGAAATTCCATATGAGAAAGAACCAACTTAGCACTAAAAGTAATTTCCAATGTATAGTTTTCAATGGGCCAAATTTGTGACTTGCAATGGAAATATCATATCAAGCGTTTGCTTTGATACAAAATATCAAAGGTTCTCTCTGTCAAACAGGTAGAAAGTTGATGCAAAATATCAAAGCGCTAGGGTTATAAGAGACTATCTGAGTAACACTGAACCTGTTTCAGCCTTTTAGGCCTAGTTGTTAGAGATGTAATTACGGCAGGTTGCAGTTTATCTTCCTATTTAGTAGTTTTCTATTTTATTTTTAGTAGGAGATCAACTATTTAGTAATCTTTCTATTTAGTAATCTTCTTAGTTAGGAGTTTCCTATTTCTCTTTTTGGTAGGAGATCTCCTATTTAATAATCTTCCTATTTAATTGGCTTTCTATTTACTAGTCTTGCCATTTAGTAGTTTCCCATTTTATTTATGGTAGGAGATCTCATTCTAGTAGAGTTACTTGTATTCCTCTATAAATTGGAGGCTTTAATCACGAAATAACATAAGCAGATTATATCCAACTAATTGAGAGCTAGACTCTCTCCTAACAAGTCTAAGGTTAGGGCTCGCTTTCCAACGAGCTCACGTTCTTTTTTACTTCTCAACAACCATGGGTCGAGGAAAGAACAAATCTAAAACAAAAGCTTTAGCTTTTGAATCAGATTTTACTCTTTAGCTTTTGAATTAGGTAATATGAACTTCTAAATCCCTTAGCAAATGTTTTGTCTACAACTGTTCAAAATCCAACAATATTAAGTCAAGCAACCATCTCATATGCTGAGTATGAAATAAGGAACTTGTGAAACTAAAAATGCTTAAATTTAACTAATTGCATGGTTCAAAATGAGAATATATTTGCAACATTCAACAATACATGCATCACTTTAAGAAAAAATATACAACAAACAAAGAAAACAGAGTAGTAGACAAAGGATTCAGTTCCATAATGACCAAAATTTTCCATCTTTTCATTCTTTAATAACATTCTACCAAAAAGGTCCAGTGCAGCCCAACCTAATACAAGAATGTCAAACTCAACTCCTTTATTGTTTTCCAATTCCCATGCGTTTCCTCCCTCCTCCCCCCAACCCCAAGATGAAGCAACAAAAAGTAGCAAGGAATAATACTAAACCAATATAAGCATAAATTAATCATTGTTGTCATATCTATCATAGTTCGGAAAGCACGCCCCAGGCATGCCTTACTCAAGGTGCAGGTCTTGGAGCCTCAAGAGCAGAAAGGTGAGCAACCTTACAGAGGTGCGCACCTCTGGAAAAAAGCCCTAGCCTAGGCTCAGGCGCAAGCCACAAAAAAAGGCGCCTTTTGTTATTTTATGCCAACAACAGATTTTAGGGTTTTTCTTTTTAATATATGCACTCCCGGTGTGTTTACATAGACTTCTATTAATAATAAAAAATAAATAAAAAAAAGCTAAAAGAAATAGAAGATATTGGTAGATATGCATAAGGAAAATCGTACCTCCACTATACCTCAAGCTCCTCTACACCAGTTCATCAACAACCAAAGAAAGCCCCCAATTAGATGATTTAAATCCATTAAAGCCTTCAAGAAGTCTTCTCCTCCAATTAAGCAATTCATTAACATAAAAGAAATATATGTCTCTCAACTATTCTTTTAATTTTTTTCTCAATTCCACCCCCCCCCCACCCAATTTGATTCTACAATCAGCTTCTATTCCCTTCTCTTTCAAGTCTGCAAATTTTTTGCTGATTTGTGCTTCTGAAATTTAGGCAAATAGTGTGATTTAAAATTTGATATGTTTTATATTATTAATATGAATTGTTCGTTCAATTTTGGAATTATTTTATATTTTTCCAATTTTTCTTCATTTTTGTGCATCACATTGCTGAGGTGCGTGCCTTCACCTTGCGCATTGCGCCTAGGTTCCGAGACCCCTTTGCGCCTAGAAAAGGAAAACTAAAAGGTTTCTCATTAACTTGGATGCTCCTGCATCATTTTCTCCTCAGATTTGGAAAGAACTCTGATTTGACGGAAAAAGTTCAGATATTTCAGCCAGAAATTAGGATCAATTTGTGTAAACTTCTCCTCAGAATACTAAGTGCTTAGGTCTTTTCCAAGACCAAACAGCGTCACAAGTCATTCAAACAATCCATCCTTTTCAACTCATTCACTTCTATTTATTTGCATAAGCCTTCTATTAATTAGGTATGTTGCTTGAAGATGTATTTCAACTCCATAATTTGTCTGGTTACTAAAGTTGCACTAGGAATACTAATAATTGCATGATAGACATCTCTTATTATTGAGAATTCTGATCTGTCTAATTAGCTAAAGTTGCACTAGGAATGATATCACTGCGCGACAGACATCTCGTACTGTCGGGAACTCTTAAGCTCAATCCAGCAACAAAATTACATAGCATCTGAAATTCCATACATTATCAAATAAATATTAAAAAACAAATCCACAAAGTTGAAAGTTTAAAACCCTAACCTCGCCATGCTCCAAGCTAGCGATTCCACTCTGGAGGCAATGGCCAACAAAATCAAGTGCAAGGTCAACTATTTTCTCAGTCATTGCTTCTGCTCCCATAAGAGAGCGAGAAACCTCTCTTCAACAAGGGATTCAGTCAAATGCAACAGTAAACTTATCAATGTAGATACTTATGGCATAGTATAATTTGGCAAACTAAAAAAAATAAGTCAGCAAAAATACTAGGAAAAACTAAAACTCAATCCAGCAACAAAATCACATAGCATCTAAAATTCCATATATTATCAAATAAAATCTAAACAAACATCCCCAAATTTGAAAATTTAAAACCCTAACCTTGGCATATTCCAGGCTAGCGATTCCGCTCTGGAGGCAATGGACGGTTAAATCCTCCTCTACGGTTCATATATTGCCGAGGCTGTCGCTTCGTAACAACCCTTACTCCGCTAACATCTGCACCAGGCACTGGTTTCCCTTTTGTTGAATCAAAGCCAATTGGAATCCCAAATTTCTTCATCATCTCAATTTCATCTTCATCAACTAAACCTCCTTCTAAATCTCCCTCTCCATCACCATCATTATTATTCCCAATCTTCTCCAACTGCTCTCTTGCTATTCCATCCACGAAATCAGATACAGCTGCTCTTTGCCTATCCCTCTCTCTTTCCCTGTCCCGTTCCTTTTCTCTGCCGTCTTCAGTTTCATGGCGGTGATGCTTTCGTGGCGGCGATGGTGATGGGGTACGCTGGTGGCGATGGCGGCGGTGAGAACGAGACTCTGGAGAACGCGATCGCGAACGATAGCGTTCAGGAGAGCGAGTGCGGGAACGAGTGTGCCGTGACCGGGTGCGGTCAGGTGAACGGGTGCGAGAACGAGCACTGCGGGTGCGATCAGGTGAACGGGTGCGAGAACGAGTGCTCCGGATGCGGTCTCTAGCTCTGTCTCTTTCACGGTCACGATCGCGTTCACGGTCTTCTTTGTCTCGGCGTCTTTCTCTGTCTCGGTCTCGGTCTCTGTCTCTGTCTCTGTCTCTGTCCCTAGTCCTATCTCTGTCTCCCATGCTAGCTGATAGCCGGTAAATCGGAATAGAGCAATATGGGGGCGGAGAAAGGTTTTCAGAAGAGAATGAACTTGATGCGAGCAGATAAGAAGGGTTTAGGAAATAAAAGAGAGCACTTTCGAGTTTTCCAACGTTACAGTTTAAGATTAGATTTTAAGACCATGTAACTCGACGCGATTCCTGCGGTTAATTATCATAAACGCGATATTCATAAATATAATTTTAAAGTTGCGTGATCACATAATTAAATATGACATTTTATAATAAAAATTATATTTTTTTTTAAATTTGTTAATTTCATATATAATAATTTAATTTGTAAATAATATTATAAATATTATATTATTATCATTATATATACGTAATTATATAAGAAACCATTACAATATCTATATAGTTTGATAATGTTATTTAATAGAGTTTCATCAAAATATTTGTTACCATACAAATATAAATGTTTTTTCAATAATATAAGATTGAAAGTCTATTTTTTGGCTTAGTTGACACAATTTCATTATAAATTTTTTAACAATATAATTTTATTTTCAAACTATAATAATTCTAAAATAATTTATAAATAATAATAGCAGCTAATATAATTGTTAATGAAATTAATTTTATCATTAGTTTATTATTTAAATAATCCTCAAAAACAATTTATATTAATAATTAGTTGAAAATAAATACATAAAATACTATAGATATTATGAAACTTTATTTAAAAATTTACTTATTATAATTTTATAACTCATTATTTTGAATAAAAATTAATATTTTACCCATTTAATACCTCAACTAATGATTTTAATATGAATTTATGGAAAAAAAAAGTCTTTTAGTGTGAATCTATTAGATATATGATATGAAAATTGACAATTTATATAAATAAAAATATAAACTTTTATAGATATTATTATTATTATTGGATTTAAATAATTTCTCAATTATTATTTTATTGATGAACTATTAAAAAATATTATTCTAAAAATAGTATTAGTTGAGCTTTATATAAATTTAAAATATTAATATTTAATTTGCTTAAAAAAATTATTATCGACATTTAATAGTTAATACTTGATGAAAAATTATTCATTATATTATAAATACACATATTGTTAGTAAAAAATATTATTCTACAAAAAAATATTTGTATTAGTATGATTCTTTATATATTTAACTTTAAAATATTAATATTTAATTTGCTTAAAAAATTATTAATCGACATTTAATAGTTAAATACTTGATGAAAAATTATTCATTATACTTATAAATACACATATTGTTAGTAACTATAAATGCTGAAACAGATATGTATGTATAACGTCAACTATCAGAAATGGGTTCCAAAATTCTAATGAATTGTAAAGTTATAATTAAAAGATATATGACATCTATTGATTAATTGGATATATGACATCTATTGATTAATTGAATTGAAAAAAATGAAAAAGTATGAAAATAGTTCAAATTAATAAACGGAAGTTAATCTTTAATAATTTTTTACATATAAACCAATGGTACATCAATTATATATATCACAAGATAAACTACTCAACTGATTTATAATTATGCATTCAAAAAATGGAATTGAAAACTTATTTTAATTATATAAATTAAGAAAATTAATTTAACAAATTTTAACTGAATAATTGAAATTTAATTTATGAAAAGAATGATTAAACAATAATAAAAGGATTAAATGAGAAAATAATATTAGATAGAAATGTAATTAAAAACTATAAAAGGATTAAGTGACAAAAGTACCATGGTGGCAAGAATTTAATCAAAGAATAATAAAAGGGTTAAAAAGAAAATATTACAGGATAAAAGATGTAAGTAAATGAACATAAAAGGGCTAAACTTACTGTTATGTCAGTAGTGTTTTTGGAGGCGTAGATCTATGCTGTTTTGTTGTTTTTTTTTTTTTTTTTTTTTAAATTATTTTTAAATGGCATTATGTAACTAAAAGATAATGAAAAGGGCAGAAATGGGAAAAACAATGTTGATTTTGGCGGGAACATATAAGTTACTCCCATAATACATATTATAATTTTTTAATTTTTAAGTTATATTGTTTTTATATTGATACCTCGATAGGTAATTTTAAAAAAATTAAAATAATAATAAAATCAATTGTATATTTTTTTTTTTTTTTTTTAATTATTTTTAAATGGCATTAATGTAACTAAAAGATAATAAAAGGGCAGAATGGGAAAAACACTGTTATGGCAACATTAATTCTCCCATATACATAATAATTTTTAATTTTTAATTTATTTTTTTTATTGATACCTCGATAGGTAAATTTTAAAAAATTAAATAAAATAAAACAATGTATATTATTATTATTATTGATGGGTGCAAGTCATAGAAATGGAGAATTGGAAACAATTGGATGCAAAATAGCATAATTTCTTGGCTATGAATTCCCTACTTAGAGTTGTAATTGCACATGGAATTCAATTGATGCAGGATTTGTGGAAGTATTGTTAATATACGAATCTAATAAGAATTCCAAATTAGTAAAGGATAAAATCTCTAAACTTAGGAAATTTAATATGGTTATTATACTTATCCATAGGTAATATTGCACATTGATATATGATATGAACTATTTTATCTCTAACTAACTATTTTATTAACGTGGGGTGATAAGCGATTCTAACCCCAGTAAAAGTGAGAATACAAATTCGATCCCATGTGACAGCTTAAGCGTATGCTATTACATTTATAGTTTAATAGTTAATTAGTGCATAATCTTTAGTATCTCATGTCATATTAAATTGAAAACATGATCGGTCCATCCCTTGGTTTCATGAAATACATTTAGTAGTCCCTAATTTTAATTTCCCCCATGTGATTGAGTCCTTTCGTCTCAAATTATCCATTTTTGCCGTTAGTTCAAAGCAAAAACACCAGTCAAAGGAGTCATAATAAAATAAAAATACCAAAGTACCCTTTTACATGCTTTGTGACAATATAAATGCTCGTGCTATATTTCTTATTAATTAAAAGTTAATTTGTTTTTTTTCTTACTTTGAAACAATGAATTGAACTAGTGTTATTTGATTGTCAATTTTCCTAATTTCTCAAATCGCCTCTTTCTTGTCCACCATATCCATCAATTAACATTCCAATTTTTAGCTATATAAAGAGACCATCTGCTGATTTATAAACATCATATATGCCTTCTCTTCTTCTTTTTGCCTCTACCTTACAATTCCTTCTCCACCTTATTGGGGTATTTAGTTCATTTTGTTGTTCTTATTTCCTGGATTATAACCAGAAGAACCTACTAAATCTTAGAGGATGGAGTCTTCAAATAGGTCTCAGATTACATCAACTCTTGTCTTGACCTTACTATATATTGTTAGAATATTGCAGGAGGAATTTAGCCTCTGTAGCCACTATTAGACATATTTAGATACCTTAAATTAATAAATAAGCTTGCCAAATTTTGACACAACATTTCTACTCTGGAAGATGTTATGAAGCCAAATCCAAGCTTTCAAGATGCTAGAGGTCAAAAAGTCTACGTGAATCATACATTTCTCCTACTATTGATTCATTACTGAGGTCGAGACAACAATCAATGTTAGAATTCCAGGATTTTAGTTTGGTGGAAGTATTAGGATTGACTATGATGCTCTGCAATTAGAGATGGCAACAGGGCGGTTCGGAGGCTGGTTATGCCCACCCCCATCCGCCCTGTCACTTCATACTTTTGCCTTGTCCTTCCGAAACTCGGTTTGTTAAAAAAAATTCATTCCATCTCCACTCCATTCAAAAAATAAAATACAACGCTCACTCCTCCTTGCGCCATTTATAAAAATTTGTATATATTATTAAAGTCTAAAATATTTTCTTAAAAGAAATCAAATTAGAAATTTCATTGAGAGAAAATTGTGTATACAGATATGAAAGATACAGATCAATATGTTTCTAATAAACCACTCATACAAAGAACATACAAAGAATAAAGAAAATACAATTTTGATTTGAAGTATCTGATCGAGTTGACAGAGTATAATAATTGTGTCATAGGCGATCGTTTGTTCCACTTGATAGCTATTCATGGCCATTATTCGACTTTATGATCTTTCTACAAGCTCGATCTCATCACTTTCAAATAATAGAATTACTGTAACTATCCAAATAACAAAATATTCTAGACAAAATCACCATAATAGTGATAACAATAACTCAGAACTAGATTTGAGAATAAAATCTCAAGATATAAGTAATAATAAATCTCAATATTGAGCTACAATAAGTCACATCTGTATCAAAAAATACAAATCTAAGGATTATTTGAAAAACAAAAATAAACAAACGTGAAAAAAGAAAAGAAAACTTCAGATTTTGAGAGAGAAAATTTAGGTTTTTTATTAAGACCTAAAGTATGATTAAACTAAGTTGAATTGGAAAATTTGTACTACTTAATTATAAGTCCGATCCAAATCAAAATTAATTAAGGGGCAATTTAACAAATGTCATATATGAGGTCTCAATTTTAACAAAATGTGGTAAAAGAATACTTATTAAGATAAAAACAAATTTGTTCAAAAAAAATTTTCAATACTACCAAAATTGACCTTGTCTCGTTAAACGGAAAACACTAAAAAAAAAGAAATGTTGGAAACAATAAAAAAAACACTCGAAAAAAAGGAAACACTGAAAAATAAAAGGATGTTGGAAAAAAGGAAATACTAAAAATAAAAAATAAAAAAATGAAACAAAATGAAACACAAAATCTATAAGAGCAAAGCTCTATATAACTTATGTAATTCAACCATGACAATGACGACCGTTAACGCAACTGACGACCACGACAACAACAACGGTAAATATAATATACACAGTATATATGGTGTGTATATATATATTGTATTAGTAAATATGGTAAATATCTACAGTATCGGTAAATACTCTAAATCGATTAAATACATAATAGATGTACATACATCAATTAACATATTAAACCAAGTAAATACGGTGCATATATACATATTTATATTGTACCAGTAAATATTGTAAAATCAATTAAATACAGAATAGATGTATGTACATCAATTAACACATTGGATTAAACCAACTAAATATGGTGTATGAAACCAAGTAAATACAATATATATACTGTAT